AATAGAACTAGCTACTTTATCAGTTTGCAAAGGAGTGTCTCCTAAGATTTGGTTCAATGTGTTTATAAAACTGTGCTTTTGTCAAATGACCAGACTCCCACACTTTAACTCATATGGAAACTTTCTCCATATTTTCTTCACTTGAGCTACTCATTACTTCTGCTGTCTTTGTAGCGCTTGTTTTATTTTTTATTCATCAGACAACATTTGATGAATCCCTGCGATGTGCTAGGTAGTGAGGCACACTGAAGTTAGTGGATAGTAGAAAAGAACTTGGATCCTCATCCTGGTGCCCTCATGGTAGTGTGGAGACTCATTCTACCGTAGACCAACTAACCAAAGCAGATGAAGAGTCTGGTGAAGGCTCTTTTTATATCCCAATCTTGACTATGTGTTTTTAAGGATACAGCATATCCAGGGCACACTGCTGTGCTGCACTGATAAGAACTCCTAATATCACCCTCGAAGTCCAGTTCTTGCCAGGTTCAGAGCCCTGATCTTATACCAATCGGCTGGAAGCCCTGATAGAATGATTTTTACATCTTTGCTGTAAGAAACTTCTGGATACCTATCTAGGAAAGGGAACTCTCTTAGTACTGCAAGTTTGAATTCCATAGGATTGACTCTAGCCATTAATCCCCGACTTTGTCTTGTGCTCCAGTTCCATTGGTGACACAGATCGGAAGCTGGGAATCAGCATGTCTTATAACAGACTCTTTTTATTATTACTATAATTATTTTTATTTTTGTTAATTACAGTTTATTCACTTTGTATCCCCCCTGTACCTTCCTCCCTTCTCCCCTCCCAATTCCATCCTCCCTCTTCCCCACCCCTGTCCCTCTCCCAGTCTGCTGATAAGGGAGGTCCTCCTCCCCTTCCCTCTGATCCTAGTCTATCAGGTCTCATCAGGAGTGGCTGTAACAAACTCTTATCTGGTGCTGCTTTTGTCATCTCCACTGACAAGTGCAGAATACTTCCTTTCTGTTTAACTCCCAGCACCATGCAAATAATGAGTCTCTCTTGTCAGTTTTCTTGGAAACTTTGCTTTGTATTTCTGTTTAAGTTCCTATTCTTTAACCACTGTTGAAAGGCCTTTCTTCTGCTCCTCATTTCAAGTTGGTTATAAAAATAAGTGTGTTTAAACACACACATTTTACTTGCAATAATGTCTGCTGTGGGTGTAATCTTAAAAAAAACTTTCTTATATTCATTTTAAAAGTTTTACTAAATAAGTCAAAACATTTTACCCTTCTTCCCAATTAACCAGGAAATATCTTCCAATTTCCAGGCCTTGGAAAATAGCATTAACAATTCAGTTCAAGTAGGTATACAAAAATACTAGTTTTTAATAATATATATTTATTGTTGTTGTAAAAGTAAAAAAAGGCTATTGAGCTGTAATTGTTTATTATTGGCCTTAAGATTATCACGGTGGTATTATTTAACCACCTATCACAAATAATAAGACACAGATATATATATAGATAATTTGCCTTATTTACCTTGGGCCTGGCAGATATTTTTCTTACACTGTCTCAATAGCCTCACCATCCCTCTCCCACCCCACCCCCCATCCAATGACATCCGACTTAATCCTCCCCATCTGATCTACCTTCCATACATTAATCCCGTGGTACTTGTATTCATCATGTGGGCCTTTTTATGCCATTATTAGAATCCTTCCTCCAGGCGCATGTGAGTTCTTCTCCAGGCTAACCCATAGTGGCATCCTCCTTCTTCCTCTCCACCTGTCCCTTGTTTTCCTATGATTTTTTTCTTGAAGACCCCCCAAAGCTCAGGAACCTTAGCCACGCCTACCCCATTCTGCCTTGTACAGGTATAGGCTGTTTAATCAACCAATCAGCTATGTTTTAGGCAGGTTTACAAAAGAAAGATGGGTGTAACCAGATCTTAAGGGCCAGTAACATGCATCAGACGAACCGCCAACAGTTTATTAAGCATAACTATTCAAAAATAAAAATTGATAATAGAAATTTGCCCAAAGTGATGGTCACATTCTTGCTTACATTTACATGGCTACAAATTGAGTTTGAATCAAATTGTTTCATTATATAATAAATAATGTATAATTATAAAGTTATATATATTTATAATAGAAATTATTTTCGTATTTCTGGGAAAATTATAATTCATGAATCAAGATATAGTCTTTCTGGAAAATTATCTGTGTTATTGGGCTTTATAGAAATACTGTAACACAGGTTTGAAAGCTATATCCATGTGACTATAAGCAGAATGTTTGTATAAAATATTACTTTTACTATAGCAGAACTCTGGATGGACTTTAAGTTATTAAAATGTCTTTAAGAACATTCTCATTTTTAAAAAGTTTTCTAAATGTAATGTTCTTGGTATCTTTGAAACATCCCTGAAAAGTGAAATGTGTTTGGTACAAACTAGAGTTTGGAGTGAAATATGCTTGTCTGTACATGGTAAGTTTTATTTGGATTTCAAATGTTTCCATACTAGGCCTCATGAAGAACTTCTTTGAATGTAGTGTCAATAAAGTCCATCGTACCTTGTAAAACAAATCCCATAAATAAACTACATTACCTCTGAATTCACTTTTACCAACTTTTATAAAAATACCTGAAAACTTTTTCCTCTAATTTAAAATAAAATAAAAATAATGAACAATGGCCAATTTTATCTCAGCTCATCTATATTATTGGTTTGAACCTGTCTGTTGTATGGAGTAATTTACTCATTGCATAATTAAAGACAGGATTCCAGAAACATATACAGCTAATAATTAACAACACTGAAACTTTTTTTCATGTTTGTAATTTCCAGGTATTCAGTTACACAGTGTCCAACATGTTCTTAGCATGCAAAAACAAACAAACAAACAAACAAACAAACAAACAAACAAACGCCTATTGAGTAGCATTATAAAAAAGACACACTAGTGAGATGGCTCGGTGGATAAAAGTACTTGCTATATAATTATATAATTCTGATGATCTGAGTTTGATCCCTGGAGCCCTTGGGGGAAGGAAAGAACCAAATCCACAAAGTTCTTCTTTGACTTTTACACATGTGGCAAGGCACAACCTGCTACCCATTGATAAATAAAATTTAAATAAGATTATAAATTAAAAAGGAAAAAAGAAAGCATTTGTGGTCATCAGTTGAAGGAAGTATTATTGAGACTGTCTTGAGCAGCCTGCCCACCCTTGCCTTGAGTACCTTTTTTTCTTATGTGTGTGGGTATCTTCTCTTTTTTTTAAATTTAAATTTTTATTTTTTATATTAATTACAGTTTATTCACTTTGTATCCCACATGGAGGCTCTCCCCTAGTCCTCTCCCAACCCTACCTTCCTCCCTCATCTCCTCTCATGTCCTTCTCCAAGTCCACTGATAGGGGAGGTCCTCCTCCCCTTCCATCTGAACTAGCATATCAGATTTCATCAGGACTGGCTGCATTGTCTTCTTCTGTGGCCTGGTAAGGCTGCTCTCCACTTAGGAGGAGCTGATCAAAGAGTCAGCCACAGAGTTCATATCAGAGACAGTCCCTGTTCCCAATACTAGGGAACCTACTTAGACACTGAGTTGCCATGGGCTACATCTATGCAGGGGTTCTAGGTTATCTCCATGCATGGTCCTTGGTTGGAGTATCAGTCTCAGAAAAGACCCCTGGGTCCAGATTGTTTAGTTCTGTTGCTCTGCTTGTGGAGCTATTGTCCCCTCCAGGTCTTTGTATCTTCCCCTTCTTTCATAAGATTCCCTGCACTCTGCCCAAAGTTTGGTTATGAGTCTCGGAATCTTCTTTGATACACTGCTGGGTAGAATCTTTCAGAGGCCCTCTGTGGTAGGTTCCTGTCCTGTTTCCTATTTTCTTCCTCTTCCAATGTCTGTCCCTTTTGCCTTCCTGAGTGAGGATTGATCATCTTACCCAGGGTCCTCCTTCTTGCTTGGCTTCTTCAGGTTTAGAGATTTTAATATGTTTATCTTATATTATATGTCTAATATCCACCTCTAAGTGAGTATATACCCTGTGTGTCTTTCTGGTTCTGAGATACCTCACTCAGGATGATCTTTTCTAGATCCTACCATTTGCCTGCAAATTTCATTATTTCCTTGTTTTTAATTTCTGAGTAGTATTCCACTGTGTAAATGTGCCACAATTTCTATATCTATTCCTCAAGTGAGAGACATATGGGTTGATTCCAGGTTCTGGCTATTTAAGAAAAAAGCTGCTACAAATATGGTTGAGCAAATGTCCTGTTGTGTACTTGAACAGCTTTTGGATATATGCCTAAGAGTGTTATAGCTGGATCTTAAGAAAGCACTATTCCTAATTGTATGAGAAAGCACCAGATTGATTTTCAAAGTGTCTCCTCTCTTAATGCCTGTGCTTAAGTATGCATTAAAACTTTTCCTTAAATTCAGCCATGCTTAAAAGCACCAAATTGTCTTCTATTATTTCCCTCAGTCATTCTCATCCCTATTGTTCACCTTCTCTAAAACAAACATCACCATTTAACAGTGCCCAGGATGCAACTTTGCCTAGTTCATTTGGAATTCTGATGTAATTCTAGGAGTGTTAACTATGATTCTATAAAATAATGTATTACCCAGTACTTAGTAAGTGCAAAGTGCCATTAATATTGAATAATATAATAAAGAGCAGCACTCTCTAGTTGGTTTATATTATTAATATTTAAAACAGTAAAATGTAAAAATAATAGAAAATTATGTCATTAATATAGTTATCTTTATCATCCCAAGACCCAGAAATTGTTTTGCATATCCAGATGCAAATTTAATTTTTTTTTCTAAATATTTCACATGCAATATAATCTTAAATGAATTTCATTTGCATCATCTCTAGCCTTAAAAGATTAAAAAATCTAACATAGAGACAGAAACACACCAATGATTCCCAATACAAATGTGTCACATCAAAAAGGAACAGTGCACAAAGAGAGCTGGGTACATATCTTATCTGTGCAGATGGCCCCCAACGTAGAGTAGTATGACTTATGACTTGCTACCTTCAACCTCGTACAAGAGCAGTGAGCATTTGGCAATAGCAAACATACTTCAAAGTTTGAGTTCAGTGTTTCGAGCATTTCTCCAGGCCAACAGGACACAGTGATGCTCCCTGGAAACAGTGGGCAGCTGAGGAGAACCGTACTTCAGTCAGTCATACAGTCTTCAAGATAGACAGTTCTTTAAAGCATAGTAAGTTGCTTAACTATTATTTTTGATACTGTACATATCGTATCTGGATTGTTTTCTCTAAGAAAGAGTCTTGGTATGCAGCTCAGGCTGGCTTTGAATTTTTGATACTTCTAACTTACCTTCTGGAGTACTGTGATTATTGGTGGGTGCCACTGTGGGCCCACTTGAAATATAGTTATAACTTAAAATGCATTCAGTGGGATAATTTTGCCAGGGAATAACTCCATTTTGAATCAAAAAGGATCTCCACAGGATAAGAATGTCTTCTAGAGAGTAGTGGCATTCTGAGCCTTCTTTGGTAGATGCTGTGGTCTGCTGTCCTCAGATTACCACCTAGGAACGTGGATACCCATTCCTCCAAATTGCATCATGTGTTTGCTGCCGGTAATGATAAAGTAAATCTCACCCCCAGCATATGTCCCAGGTTAAAGGGAGCTGTCTGATATAGACTTATACCTTTTTCTGTGGCCATCTCAATGGCAAGAGGCTCTAAAGTTCCATCCACTGACCTAAATTTGGGACGGTTTTACCAGTTTTAGAGTACACGTGGGATTAATATGGTCTTTATTGCAATTCCATATCAACTCAAATTTTATTTTGCACAGTTGTGATTCCATAGCCCCAGTGTAGGCTTTGATTCCAAAAGTGTGTTCCTTACCCAACTCCATCTTTGAGTCTGCTTTCTAGGAAAGCCCACATATATATGACACGTGATTTTTGTAACAAGGAGTCAAAACCTAACAACCTCTATAATGGATTCTGAAGACAGTAACCAGTTGGCAAACAGGCATCATCTCCAGCCGTGGATGAGGGAATTTGCATACAAAGTACTAGTGGCTAGAGCTTTTACCAGTTTGTAGATAATTGGGACAGAACAACTATGGGATGGTTTTGTACAGTCTGAGGATTAAATAAAGTTTTGAGAAAGGGCATGGTCATAGGAACTACAGAAGTGGGTACATATTTCATGAATTACCAGAAACTTTAGAGACAGACAGTGCAAGGCTGAAGGTGACTGGTAACTCTTTTGAGGCCAATTATAAAGAAAAAGACTTTAATAGTACCACGCAGAGACTTTGCTTTCCTTGGGGTTGAACTGTTTCCAAGAAGTTAATTCATGTGGTATCAGAGTCCTCAAGAAGGTTGAAAGGTTGGCTACACAAAGATTAAGGTAGGATGTGCACACTGTGACATCTAATAGGACAACTTTTACCCACACATTAAGAAGTTTTGTATCTTGAATATGTAGGTGGCTAAACTAGGGTATTATATCATAACTAGAGTCCAGGTCCCCAGAAGAAATGTAAAAGCCGTGTGCACAGACAGCTAGCTCAACATGACAGCCTGCTTGTAATCCTACTACTGAGGAAGAAGACAAGGAAAATTATATCATTAATATAGTTATCTTTATCACCCCAAGACCCAGAAATTGTTTTGCATATCCATATTGCATATCCAAATTTAAATTTGCAAATTTAAATTTTTTTTCTAAATATTTCACATGCAATATAATCTTAAATGAATTTCAATATTCAGTTTTTGTTTCATTTTGTTTAAGACATATCAAAGCTATTCTTAAACAACTGACCTTTCATTGATAAACATAAACTCTGTACATGTATGGTATGCAGTATGATATTCTGCAGTACACTTTGTGGAATGGAAAAAATCAAGCTAATTAATTAATATATTTATTACCTGATAATTTATTTTTAATTTATTATGTAGTAGATGCTTAGCTTCCAATAAAAGTAATTAAAATCTCTCACTTAATCCATTTTTTGTGAATGGGAATAAAATGCATTTCTTTCAGGGGAAAAAGAAAAGTAATCCCAATAATTCCACAGTTTAGGAAATTCATGTATACACCTAACAAGCCAGGAAATGTTTAGAAGAAAACAGATCAAATTAAAAACAATAGATTATAGTTTATTGGAAGAAAATTGTCATCTTGGATGAGAGTTTTGTCAAAATGGACAAAACTTGTTCAAAAACAGTATCATTTATTGATGACACTTAATTTAAATGAAAACCACATGGAAATTGAGGCAAGAAAATACTAATTCTGTCCTATCCCACAGATTCCAAAAAAAAAGACAAATATTCAGATTTTGTTTATTTTAGTCTAAGAACTAATTGATGGCAGCGTGTTCAAAATATATTAATGTCTTTTATCCATCCAAAATTTAAATATCTTTCAAGAATTTAAGATTTTGCTATCTTGATGTTTTCATATTCATTATTTAAAATGATTACCTTCCTTCTAGAATGTACATTTGTATGTTTTAATCTATATGCCTAGAAGCAAGGACATGATTATTACCTTTAGTATTTAGTTCTTCTTAGTTATATGCTTTTACTTGTGTGAGAATCTAGATAATATTAATATAGAAAATTAGAACCAGGTTTTACCCCTTGGAGGCTTTGCAAATTTTACTTGAGTTGGCTAGATTTTATATCTTTTATATTGTAAAATATAAATTCACATACTCATGACTTTGAAATTTTAGTATAAATGCTCTGGCATAAAGCAGATTATGCTAATGTGTCACAATTTTGGGGACCATTTGATATCTAAGTATGTATTTTAAACCAAACATGTTTAATATTGCTTTGATAATCTTATTTTTGACTTTTATATGACCCAATATCTCATGGTTACTATCTATAGAATATGATGAAACCAAGAAAACATTTCATTTATTTGAAAGTAATCATTATTTATCAAACAGGTTCACAAAGTAAGCATGTAGCTAATGACTCAAATGTTGCTGATAATGGCAAATATATTTGTAGTAGCTTCTAATAAGAGTTTTCCTAAAAGAAACGATGTCTCTAAAGAGTCAACACTCTGGATGTAGCTTTTCCCTTAGGGCCACTTGATTTAAATGATTCTCAGTTGTTCTACTTGTATGGAATGGGAAACACCAAAATACAGATTGGCAGCCTTTTCTGTAGTTTCTACTTCGTGCTGACTCAGTTTTCCTTCATCCAATTAAAATATTTATAGCGGCTGTAATAAAATCCACTCAGGATTATTTGGATGAAAAAGACGTATTTTGTTTCTGAGATTTAGCTCCTTTGTATTACTCCACTTCTTCCTCTTCCTTCATGGCCATTCGCACCCATTGCGAACTAGAATTATTGTTTTAACCATTCTCATTCATTCAACAACCGATCTGCTAGTGAAGTGACTGGCTCTAGGACCAAGTCTTACACGTGCTATTTCAGGTCTGCTCTGGCAGCTCTCACAATTTGTGTGGCAGCATTCATATGGAGTCTATCTTTCCCCACAAAGGTCTCATGGACACTCTACATTGTAGCTTTCTGGAGAGGGTTGCCAAGACCAGGGACTCTGTGTCTGGACCTGCTGAGGCAGGTACTCTGTGTACCCGTACTCCAAATTCTGGCACCCCTGCAGATGTTTGGTTGTCTCCTATGTCGAGGCTGAGTGCTTCCAAAGACTTCGTTATAAGGATGTTTGCTGATTCATTTATTTTTCTACCCTTCCCCATTACTTACTGGTCTCTTGTTTGTGGGGACATAGTGAGGACTCTGGGCATTGATTCTTACTCATTTCTATATTTACACTCAATCCTTTCCTGGGAGTGTCCCATGGAGATCATGGAACGCTGGGAGACAGCATCACTTCTTGCTGCTTACTTATTTATACTGTTGACTTAAGTAAAAAAAAAAATGGTTTATTTCTTTGCTTTTTGGCTTGTTGTCTTTAACTATGATCAAGATGAATGAGCATCATGACACCCTTGACACATGATAGCCCTTTCAACCGATAAAACTATGTTTTGAGACCTGTCTGATGAACTGATAGAGAAAACCTGGGTCAGAACTGAATGCCCAGTCCTTCCGGGCTGGCAATCTGTAATGAAGGGAAGTTATCAGAAAAAAACTGATGTCACAGCATTAGTTAATTGGGATTTTAGTGTTTACAATGAATAAAAATGTTGATATAACATTCTTAGTTACATAGATTCCAAATGAATTCAATTTGAATTCTAAGTCTCATCATTCTCCAAAATGTCATGCCACACATATATAAAATGGGCTAGAAAACAATAATTTGTTGGTATATTTACTTTATAGCAGATTCAATGAAGGCGGCTTCAGGTGATTTTGTTGCTCATTATTGAAACATAGTTTTCCCTTTATTGTGACTTCCATCATATCTAGTAGATTTCTTGTTAACAACATTCCCCACACTTTTCACGCGTCATATTTTCAAATGCTCCTTGTTGAGATCTCCTGTGAACATTGGTCTGTAGGGTCACCCTCTGTTATCTCCATGTAGCAGAATGGGATCATGGGCGTGAGCAAGTGAGTGCAGGTATAATGCAGTTCTGCCAACGAGAGCCTCTAACCTAACCCCAAGAATGGACCCAAGACTACACATCTTTGCTTGTTACAAATTCAACCAGATGGTGAAAGTTCACGGGGATTATACTAGAGGAAGAACCCATAGATTGTTGGTTAAGACCTAGTGATTAGAAGACTAGACTATGATAGAATACAACTCTATTGGTTATATGTATAAGACCATCCACCAAATTACATTGGTACTCCTTTCTCTCTCTCTCTCTTTCTTTCTTTCTCTCTTTCTTTCTTTCTTTCTTTCTTTCTTTCTTTCTTTCTTTCTTTCTTTCTTTC